CCACCTTTGCCTCAGATAATCCATTAATTTCAAATTGGTAAAGGCTGAGAAAATATTTCAGAGGAAGTATCGGATATGCTTGCTGTGTTTCACTTTTCCTTGGCATCTGCCTTTGGCTACTTCCATCAGATCTAACAGAGCTATTATTATTGCTACATAAAAGTTTCACATTTGTTATCTCAGCATAAAGCAAAATTTAGACAGCAGGTTGGATAAAAATATCATCTTACTGAAGTGATTTTTCCTATAGGTTATTTTCCTAAATAACTTTTCAGTTCATCACAACACAGAAAAATTTTGGCCAAGACAATCTCCTGCTGTGTGGGCACTGAAGACTGATGGGTTTGACTCACAGTTAGGCATTTGCACAGCTAATTAGTTAGTTAGTAATTGTTTATGTGTATATCCTGATGCCCACCAAGTTTGGAACTCCATATGGTGCCTCACCGTGGCCTAAGAGTTACAAAGTTTGACATGGGGTTTCTGATGCCATGCTGTACATGTGTACATCAGTGAAGTTATGTGCAACTAAAACCAGAAACCTACAGGAAATGTTAGGCCACCTCAATAATGCATCACACTATTAGATCCACAGATGAGGAATACCCTGAAGATCAAGCACACTAAAAACTCAGGCATATGACAAAAGCGTTTTTCTCTTGCCTTTTTGTTGCTCCTCCATGTACATTTACAACCCTTCCTTACATGAACTTCAGTGATATGATTTGTGGGCTCTAAAGCAAATAGTCAGGGCCCCACAGCACAGGAAGGGAAGCAAGTGCATGGCTACCCTTCATCTTCAGCTCTTTGTCCCATTGTTTAAACGTAACTTCCTTTTACCATATGTAAAAAGTGAAATGGCTGAGGGGCAGCAACACGTTCTTTACTATCACTTGGGCTATCCAGATAGTAGTCTTCATAGGGGAAAAGGAAAAAGAGAGGGGACAGCTTTTAACAACATTATGACTAGATTTGTCAGCACTCAGATGACAGCATGATGACTCACATGACTAAAGTGATTTGAATTCACAGAGCAATTCCTCATTCATTGCATTTCTGGGTAGAATCAAACCCAGAGGTTGCTACCTATCCATCTATGAATATGAACACTGTTATATGAACTGGTCTTATTATGAGCCAGGCTTGACCATTTAGTATTATTTTATTCTTGCTAGAAAGAAATTGGCTTGAGTTGGAGTAAGCCCGTAAGCATTTGACTTTTGAATTCACAGAGCAATTCCTCATTCATTGCATTTCTGGGTAGAATCAAACCCAGAGGTTGCTACCTATCCATCTATGAATATGAACACTGTTATATGAACTGGTCTTATTATGAGCCAGGCTTGACCATTTAGTATTATTTTATTCTTGCTAGAAAGAAATTGGCTTGAGTTGGAGTAAGCCCGTAAGCATTTGACTGGGTGGGTAACT